GGAGAAATTGGCCTAGATACCAAGTAGTGAAACCGAGAGGGGGATGTAGGGAGTCTTGGAAGGAACCTGGTAGGGCTATATCATACAACACATCTAGACCCTGTCGCAGAAGCAGATTGGCTATATCATCTGCAGTCAAAATTGACTTGACGGGAGTGGAGGGAATGTGTAGCGTGGGTTCTCTCGATTTGGGTCCGCGCAAGATCCAGCGACCTTTAAGCAAGGGAGCAGCGAGAGCCCCTTCAACCTCTTCGGTCTTTCGAGAATGAGCCTTACCCCGGACCTTCGAAGTCACGGTTTTCTTGCTTTTCTTCAGCACGGCGGCGCATGGTAAGACAACCGCAGGGGGCGGGGGAAGGCTCTCCTCAGAAGAGGAAGAGGAAGAAGCCATATGTATTTGGATAAAAAAATGAACAATAAAGGAGCCAAAGAAAGGAGTAAAAGTACCTGGAAGAAGGGGGAAAGCTTGGAGAATCGCCAGAAAAGGGGTAACGTACGCCGCACAAGGGCAGAGAGAAGAAAGAAATAGCAGGAGGAACAAAGGAGGAAAAAAGTGAGAAGAGGAAAGAGAGGGTTTTTAAAATGAGAGAGGGGTAGACGAAAAGACGGCTGTACAGGTACCCATGTCAGCCCACGCATCGCATTTAATACGAAAAGACAGATGCCTAATCGACGGAGGATCTGCGGCTTGGGGAAGTGCAATCGACCCCTCTATAAATATATATATATATATATATATATATATATATATATATATATATATATATAATATAATAATAAAACATATAATATTTAAAAAGGGTCCTTGCTCCGAGATTTCATAGGCATACTCGCAGAAAACTGTAGCTTGTTTCCCGCGAGTGGGGGACTAGTTGATTCGGTAAAAACTAATCTCTTGGCCCGTTAAGGAGGATGGCCCAACAAGGGCCCAACAAGGAGACTCCCATAAGAAGGTCAGCCTGGTTAAAATAAGCCCAACTGAAATGCGAGAAGAGGAGAGGTTCTCGCTAACAGGGAGAAAAGAGTGACTTCTCGCAAGTGAGAGGTTTGACATAGCCGTCCTCACATTTAATGCCCGTCTCCTCATGTGTCAGAGATGTCAGGGAATGTTCAGCTTTGGGCATGTGTAGCCCACAACACTATTTCTCGAAGAGACAAGTTAAGCCCAATTGAATCTTCATTTGGGGTCAAGAATAATCTGATTAAACAGAATAAACTTGAGTAAAGTCCGGATTCGAATCCGAATTTTTTCTATAAATAGCCTAAGGCTAGGTAAACAAAGGTACGCACGCATATACAATCCTAAAACAGCTTATCAACCAGCGAGAGTATCTTATAGGAAATAGACTTACTGACTTGGCCGTCGGAGTGCTAACTCCGGCATAAGCCCGGTTTTTCTTTTTCTGGTCTTATTCTATAGAACCTGGTATAGAAGGAGAACCCGGTCAAAACAATATCAAAGATTCGACTGAATCAATAGTGTTAACCCGATTACAAAAAACAATTTATATTTATATATATATGTTTATGCTGCTAAATTCTTAATTATAGTTCGTTGATATTCGAAATTATTGCTGAGTCTAAAAAGGCTCACACACATTTGTTTATTATGCAGATAATCAAGGTAGTTTCGACGAGTTGGGTTGATTCTTTGTTGACAAGGGACTCTGGTCAGATTACTCATATGGAAAAACTTTCGATTTTTTTGATGTTGGTTATGTGGTTTTATCTATGTTTACTTCTTTCTAGGATTTTGGACACCGTGCTTACTATTTTCTATATGATCCTTCCTTCGGAGGATGATGATTAGACTAGACTACGTATAAATCGTGTCTCTCTTTTGTTATATACATAGTAGTGTCCGATATTCTATAATTCTAATGGTAAAGGGTATGTCGTAAGTCATAAAGACCATTTTTCCTTATGTAATTAATATATATATATATATATATATATATATATATATATATATATATATATATATATATATATATATATATATATATATATATATATATGTTAAATTCCTGGTTTTATTTCGGTTTGAGTTACTAATTTTGTTTAATTGCCAAAGATAGAGAATTCTGTCAAACTTTGAAGAATTTAAGTGTAAAATCGCAAAGAAAATAACAAATTTCTTTTGGAATGGCTTTAGAAATAAAATAGTTTTTTTTTTTTGACAGATAGAAATAAAATAGTTTTGAACTTCTCAAATTTAAAATAAAATAGTTAATATACTTATACTAATTATATAACTACCCCATTTCTCAAGAGGACATTTTGCAGAGGGGTACTTTGATTTTTTTTTTTAATTGAGTACCAAATGAATTTTGTCAGACTTTTGCTGAGCAAATTCACATCTGAATATCTTCTTTGAATTATATTAAATTATCATGGCATCAATAGAGATATTACACATGTAATCACATTTTTTTTCCAGCAAACATACTTCAACCTCTTCATTATTTATTGAGATGGCGATTATATGCAGGGTATGATACAAGCATAAGTTGACTAGGTTAAATTTTATTTTTATACAGGTTAAAAAGCATGTGAAGTATAAATCACACATTAATCGACTACCAACAATTTTAAAACTGTAAAGGGGCTTTATACCGACATCAAGTTTCTGTATATCTTCTTGAGCTTTCTTCTTATAACTCTCGCCTGCACAAAAACAGAAAAATATTTCATGCACAACAAAATTAAGTAAAATAGTAGAATAAAATGTAGAAGACTAATCACTTACGGCTTGGTTTTAATTTAGTTGGCATTTTCTCTTTCATCGACTGTTGTGCGTTCTGATGCGATCTCTCGAGTATCATAAATATTTCCTACGAAACGTAAGATCTATTCTTTAATATTTTTCTCTTCATTATAAAACCCTAGCACAAGACGACTATTTAAATATAAGAAAACCCTAGAATCCTAATCTAACTAGGAAAGATAATTACCTAAACTAATAAAATATAATATCTAACCTAACCTCTAACTCACGGCTATGTATATAATAAACCTAACTATTCTAATTAATTAATAATTAAATAATGACTAACTAATAATTAACGATATATTAAATAATAATATATCGTATCAAACCACCCCTCTTGAAATGAACCTTGTCCTCAAGGTTCCAATAATTGCAGCTCTCTCTTTTGCGCTTCCACCTGTGTTTGACTACATCGAATTGCGTCCCGAGTGAATCCGAAAAACATGACGAACGATCAAGATTTTTACCACATTGTTTAGGTTGATCGAACGAACTCCTCAAGGCTTTTGGAAAAATTCTCAATATTTTTCCCGATAAATAAGCCTCTTCAATTACCTTTTCAGATTCCGGTTCATTCACAATCACCAATTCTTGTTCGTCTTTTTTCCTTTCAACAACATGGAAATCTCCCAATATCCATTGTAGTTCTTCATTCTCATCTGTGGTTAATTCCTCATCTTCGTCCCAAATTATCTCCGTTAACTCCGATTCTTCTTCTTTCGGCTCTTCGTCCCACTTTATATCAGTTGAATCTGATTCTTCTTCTTCCGGCGAACTCACAAAAAATTGGGGTTCTTTGAAAAAATCACCGTCGTCCTCTTCCTCTTCCTTTTGCGGTAGGCTTGGCATTGGCGGCGGCGGTGGATCTTCGAAAAAGTCATCATCATCCTCGTCCTCTTCCTCCGGCGATAGGCTCGGCGGCGGCGGTAGTGGTGTTGTTGGTCGGCGGTGGCGGTCTCTTCGGCTTTTGTGATGGCGTTGACGTCGTCCTTGACTTTGTTCGAGCAATTTCTGAAAATTAATCCGTAATTTCTCTACGGATTTCTCCAATCGCTCTAACCGTCTTGTTTCTGACATCGTGATTTTCACAAAGTTTTGATGTGATCTCAACTTTGCTCCAGCGTAGCTTTGATGTAATCGCTGCCTTGCTAACGAAGCGTTGGTGTTAATCGCAACTTCGCTCTGATACCAATTGATGCGATCTCTCGAGTATCATAAATATTTCCTACGAAACGTAAGATCTATTCTTTAATATTTTTCTCTTCATAATAAAACCCTAGCACAAGACGACTATTTAAATATAAGAAAACCCTAGAATCCTAATCTAACTAGGAAAGATAATTACCTAAACTAATAAAATATAATATCTAACCTAACCTCTAACTCACGGCTATGTATATAATAAACCTAACTATTCTAATTAATTAATAATTAAATAATGACTAACTAATAATTAACGATATATTAAATAATAATATATCGTATCACGTTCGTGTAGCGGCAGAAGGGAAATTAGCGTCGTAAAGTACCGGAACCCTAATTAGTCCGGTACGCAATTTTCGAAGTCGGCCGTGGCATTCTCATTGATATTTTTCGAAGCCGGAACCTTAATAAACTACAAATACGTCGTTCGCAGTAAATGATGTTGGGAGAAGACGATTCCGGTGAAATAAGACTATAGCGGAAGGATGAAAAGCCTGCGACAGGGCTGTTTTTGGGAGAATTTGGGGGGTTACAGAATGAAAGTTTTTGGCAGTCGATTTGGGGAGGAAATAACGAGCAAAATTTCAGATTTTGTGTTTTTGGGAGAGCGCGTGATCGTAATATTGAGGGCGCAGGGGCATAATTGAAAAAGACGCTGACTGAAATTAGGAGTGAGTTTTTCTCCAATGGGGCAAAATAGCTTAGGCCTCTCCCCATTAAAAGAAGTTATATCAAAGAACCCCTAAATTAAAGAACAACAGAGTCATGAATAGCAACAAGTGTCAAGTAACTTATATATTTCAATATTAAACTAACATAGATCTTACTGTATTACATAATTCGTTACTCTAATACAAATACGTATACACATATAATATTATTTTGGCGAAATGCAATATGAATAGGGACAACAACTAACGCGAGACGTGCGACGCACATCCATCTATCTAGTAGACCTAAAAAGTCTTAATCGCTTTATATATATATATATATATATGCGTGTGTGTTTGGCTGGGGGTATTAGTTATTAAATGCATTTGATCCTCAACAGAATGTTTCGAACAATAATATCGGAAATATGTTGGTTAGCCGCTTCTGTTAGATGTAAGCCATCCCAATGTATGTATCGATTTGGATTAGGGCAAACCGGCACTCCTGCATTTCCACAAAATTCTGGACCGAGAGTGTCAATTAACTCATCATTGTAATTTCTACTTCCACAACAAACGTCCAACACACTTCTTGGATCAAACCCTATAATTAACAAAAACAACCACACAACAGAATTAGTATATATATATATATATATGTATATATAGTAGTGGATGATGAAGAACTGACCAAGAAGAGGTGCGTGACGGAGAAGTGATAGAAAAGCATTGTAGTAGTCTGCATAAATTATGACAGCATGTGGAAACTCTCTTCGAAGAGAATCAAGACCGACTTTTAGGTCATTGTTCTGAAACGTGACGAGATTGTTCAAACTTATTACACACCCAAATTCATCGTACTTCACCGCAGATTTGTTGCTACCAAAAACGCTAATGCCAAAAGGTAAGCATCCAAGTGGAAAATTTCCAGGAACCACGATTTGTAACGCACCATCCAAGATTATTTCCTGACTTAATCATCAATTGGACAAAAAAAAGAGGAGGAAATCATTATACAGTCGATCAATCATCAATCATTTTCATAATTCAATTGCATTATATATATATATATATATATATATATATATATATATATATATATATATATACTCTTGTGGTGTTAATGATGGCTTGATTAATAAAAGGCACATATGTCTGAATCTCTTGAAGAGATTTTCTTTGGGCCAGTGGATAGATAATGTCATTGGCTCCAATTTCACCAACAAAAATCAGAGCACTTCTGAGCTTATAAGAACAATCTGGTGATAAAAAAAAAATTTAATAATAAAGTAAAATAAATAAAATAAAAAAAGAGAACAAAATGTCATTGTCTAGACCTAATTAATTTGCAC